GGTCAAAAGGCATCATCTGACCTTACTTTTTCGAAAATGCGGCCGGGGACGCCGTTACCGTCAATTCTGAGCGATATCACGTGATGATAGAGGACTATTTTTTGCCGCAACTTGAAGGAATGGATCTGGACGATGTTTATTTCCAACACGACGGTGCAACATGCCACACAACCAACGTCAATATCCATCGATTGCAGTCCTTCTTCGGTGATCGCGTGATTTCGCGCAGAGGAAATGTGCCATGGCCACCAAGATCGTGCGATTTGACTCCCTTGGACTTCTTTTTATGGGGATATTTGAAAAGCAAAGTCTGCGTCAACAAACCAGCCACCCTCCAAGAACTCAAAAACAACATTATTGCCGAGATAAATGCCATAGAACCGACCATGTTGCAAAATGTCATTGAAAATTTCGACCATCGCGTGGACGTCTGTAAATAGAGTCGTGGTGAACATTTGAGCGAAATTATTTTTCATACATAAATGGTATAAATGAACCTTCAAAATAAAGTACCCAACTTGATTTGAATATCAATCTTTCTTGTTTTAATATGCGTTTACTTTCCTGCATCCGTTTTTACAACCCCATATAATCCTTTACGAACTGATAATAGCGTTGCATGGGAAGTGTAGAGTCAACCTACTTGCCGTCATTTTTTAGTTCTGTTCTCTAGTAGCTAGAGTGAAAAAGCGTCTATTTTCGTTTCAGACACCCACAACTCGTGTTTTCGATTCGTCACCGATGGCCAGCTCCCTCTCAGGCAGTGTCTCTATCCAGAGTCGTGGCGGAAGGACCTCGAGCTGCCATCTTACTATAGCACCTTCCACGACCTGCGGAAAGAGGTCGCCAAGTTCACGGGGAAACAGACGACCCGCCGCATTCGGTCGCCCAGATGATAGATTGTATCCTTTTTGCATTCAATTAACGGGTTGTACATCAAAATGCATTTTCGTCATATGTACGAGGTCTGGAAATTAAGTGATGATACTGATTTTTTTTTATTTTTTCATTATACTGCGAAAGGTTGGGTAATCTCGAAACTGGAGATACGACAGACCAAAATGTGTGAATTGACCTAAGGACCAAAGGGTGATAGTTTGCGAGGATGATTCACAAGTCTAGACCAAAAATGTAACATTATACACAGGATAACATTTTAAGGGGGGTCCTCTATGTAATATTTTTCTCCAGGGCTTCATTAAAAAGATACGGCGAGTTGAAGTTTAAAAATAAAAAACAATTTTTATTTTCAAAACCGTCAAATTATTTTATCGAAATACTGTCCACATTCAAAATTTTTCCAAATAATAATAGTACACCACTGTTTTTTTTTTTCGAAACATGCAATTTTCGGATTTTATTCACAAATAATTACTCTTGTGTTTTTCCCACAGTACATTGTTTTCGTAAAAATAAAAAAAAAAACAAATTAGATAATCAAAGCTTTATTTCAATAAATCTTAAAAAGCACCATTCAAAGAAACGTCAAGTGGGTATCAAAACCTCCTGTTTTATTTTGAAACTAATTGTATCTCTGCTCTTCATGAATGATCTAATTTGTTTTGATTTTATTTTTACGAAAATAGTACACTCTAGGAGAAAACACAAGAGTAATTATTTGAAGCAAATTGAAGGTAAAATTCGGAAAATAGCGTGTTTCGAAAAAAAAAACAGTGACGTACTATTTTTATTTACAGGGTGATTCACAAGTCGTGACCAAAAATGAAACATCATACACAAGACCGCATTTTGAGTGGGGTCCTCTATGTAACATTTTTCCTTGAGAGATTTCTTTAAAAGATATGGGGTGTTGAAGTTTAAAAATAAAAAACAATTTTTTAATATCATCAAAACCGTCAACTGATTTTATCCATGTATTGTCTACATTCAAAAGTCTCTAATTAGAATTAACGTACACCAGTGGCGGAGATACAGAGGCTCAGTCGCATTATTTTTCGAAATAAAAATGGTACGCCACTGTTTTTTTTTTTCGAAATACGCGATTTTTCGAATTTTTCCTTCAATTTGATACAAATAATTACTCTTGTGTTTTTTCATAGAGCGCATTATTTTCGTACAAATAAAAAAAGACAAATTAGATAAAGCTTTATTTCAAAAAATGTTCAAAAAGACCAGTATTCTGTCGGATACAAGTGCGGCATAAAAAGTGACGATAACAACCGCATTAACTTTGACAAACTATCTCCCACGACACGTCAAGTCGGAATCAAGGCCTCCTATTGTATTTTGAAACTAATTGTATCTCGGCTCTTTATGAATTTGTTTTATTTTTATTTTTTACGAAAACAGTGCACTCTAGGAAAAACATGAGTAATTACTTGTAGTCAATTAAAGGTAAATTCGAAAAATTGCGCGTATCGAAAATACAGTGACGTACTATTTTATTTGAAAAATAATACCACTAATCCTCCGTATCTCCGCCACTGGAGCATGTTAATTTTAAGTAATGACTTTTCAATGTGGACAATACGCAGGTAAATCCACATTCCAAATTCTATTTCATTCCTGTTGACGGTTTTGAAGATATTAAAAAATGTTTTTTTTTTATTTTTAAACTTCAACACCCCGTATCTTTTAATGAAGACCTCGAGAAAAAAATGTTACATGTTAAAATGTGGTCCTGTGTAATGAAGTTCAATTTTTGGCCACGACTTGTGAATCACCCTGTATAGCATTTATCGCTTTTTTAGGAGATTTCTTCGTTTTATATCCACTTTGAAAGTTGCATATTTAAATAACACGAGGACATGTGATTCATTAAACTAACTGAAAACTTCGCGTTTCAAAAAGTGACGTACTATTTTTATTTGGAAGAATAATACCACTAATACCCTGTATCTCCGCCACTAGTGCACGTTAATTTTAAGTAATGACTTTTGACTCTGGACAATACGCAGGTAAATCCACATTCTAAATTCTGGTTCATTCCAGTTGACGGTTTGCGGATATTAAAATTTTTTTTTTTTTAAATTTCAAACTTCACACCCTCGAGGAAAAATGTTACATGTTAAAATGGGGTCCTGTGTATGAAGGTTAATTTTTTGTCAAGTCGTGTGAATCCATCGTGTATAGTATTTATCGTTTTTTATTAAAGATTTTCTCGTTTTATTTCACTTTGAAGTTGCATATTTAAAATAACATGAGGACATGGGATTGCTTAAATTAACTGAAAACTATTTAAAATTTACTATCAATAATTCTATTTTCTGATAAAACTTATCGATGAAAAATATATATTTATTAGGTATTACGTAACTGGGTAATTAATTCATTTTACCCATTTCTCACAAGCAGCGGAAATGAGCGCCTATTTTAACATACATGCGACATCTCTTGGCGAAAACTGAAGAAATAACTTCGAATTCGACAGTGGCCATTACACTTTCCTTTATCCTCTGATAAGGCAGTTCCACTTCAGACAACAGTCTGTGCTAGTGGCACCATTTCAACGTTCTCCACTTTTTTACTAAATTTTTAAAATTACGTCTACGAAAAAATTTTAGGATGACGGATAACCGGAAATTAATCATTTCTACATTCACTCCTCAAGTATCAGTCGTATCATTTTAATTCATCTTCGGTTAACGAACGCGTTCAAAATAACACCTGTTGCTTCAGTCATAATGCAGTTTGTTTGTTTTCGTCCAATGCCCTCTTTATATTTGATATGATGTAGTGTTTTGTCTATACGTTTAAATTTGCTGTTCTACTTTTTGCTTGTTTGTGATACTATCAGCATATTTTCAAATAATTTGTAAATTGTGATGTTGCTGACACTTCAGAAAATAAACAATACGTAGATTCATTGCAGTTATTTTCACATAATATATACTACAAATTTTCATCTCAAAAAAAAAATTGAAAAAAGTTACTGTTTACGAGCATAGTAGTGCAGTACTCGGCAAGACATTTTTGTAAGGCATCATTGTCCTTTTGACATAACCTATAAATGGCGGGTGAAATCTTCAGAGCAGGTGTATTCAGGTGAGTTGTTTTTCTACTGGTTTCCTTAATTCATTGTTAGATTTACAAATGAAGGCTGAAACGGAAACGAATTTTATACGAAAGAAGCAAAAGATATGGTTAATATTGTACAAAGGCTGATAGCGGATGGTAAGTGCCCATTTTGTATACCTAGTTGTTTATTCACATTTACTATTCTGCAACAATTGTGTATTTATGTTAAAAATCATAATTTAAGCAGAAAATGTTCTACATATAAACGTCATAAAATAAGTACATTCGGGTGCAACAATAATTGCTTTAATTCTCCCCTTACTAGCGAAAATTCTAACAAGTGGCAACCTCGCAGTTCGGTAGTGACTGGTAGTGTACACAGGATGGGATAAAGTACAGAATGACCCATAAATTATTCACACGGACTCATCATTTCATTTTTCTTAGAATTTGTACAGCTATCCATTTTTTCTGAAATACTGACTGATTTCTCTCATTATTTTGGGATGTTTCACTTTAACAGCAAGCCCCTCCACCCTACACGCTCAGGTCAATACTTGTATTCCAATAAATCGAACAGTCTACATTTGGTGTAACGTGGAAGCTTATATCCCCCCCAAGGCAATCACAACCCAAGAATATAGGGTTGTCCAATAGGGACGCAGGAAAGTAAACGTCAATTTGACATAGACGCCATCTTTGTTTTCTGTCACCGACATGTCATTTTGTTAGTTGAATGTTTACCATTGATCGCTACGGAGTCGTATTCGATTGAAGACCGCATTAAAGTTATTCAAGGGTACTACAAAAATGGTGCAAAAATAAAAAACACATTTCGCGCGCTTCGTGAACATTTCGGTCGCGACCAACCGCCCAAACGAAACAACCATCGGTCGTCTGGTGCGTAAATTCGAGGCAACAGGTTCTGTGGAAAATCTGCCAGGCTCTGGCCGGCCAAGGAGCGTTCGCACACCGGAAAATATTGCTGTTGTGAAGGAGAGTGTGAGAGACGATCCGAAACAATCAAACAACGCGTCGATCAGTGCACTCTAGGAAAAAACATGAGTAATTACTTGTAGTCAATTAAAGGTAAACTTCGAAAAATTGCGCGTTTCGAAAAAAGCAGTGACGTACTATTTTTATTTGAAAAATAATACCACTAATCCCCCGTATCTCCGCCACTGGAGCATGTTAATTTAAGTAATGACTTTTCAATGTGGACAATACGCAGGTAAATCACATTCCAAATTCTAGTTCATTCCAGTTGACGGTTTTGAAGATATTAAAAAAATGTTTTTTTTATTTTTAAACTTCAACACCATCTTTTTAATGAAGGCCTCGAGGAAAAAATGCGGTCATCTGTATGATGTTTAATTTTTTTCAAGTCTTGTGAATCACCCTGTATAGTATTTATCGCTTTTTAAAAGATTTCTTCGTTTTATTCCACTTTGAAGTTGCATATTTACAATAACACGAGGACATGTGATTGATTAAACTAACTGAAAAGTCTATTTAAAATTTACTGTTCAATAATTCAATTTTCCGATAAAACTTGTATTCCAATAAATCGAACAGTCTACATTTGGTGTAACGTGGAAGCTTAATCCCCCCCAAGGGCAATCACAACCCAAGAAAAACTATGCATTCTCTAAAACCCGAAGCGTCGAGAGTTTCAGATAATAAAAGGATTAATATATAAAAACTCTATTAGGTGATTTATCTATCGGGATATTTGTTGTATGTTTGATTTTATTTTTATTTAATTAACATCAAATACAATTGATTGATTGATTTAAATAATTACACTGTAGTGTTCTTAATACTACCTTTAAATACAAAGACAGAAGTTCCAAATACTTCTAAACTAGATATACAAGGTATGTCGCAAAGTAAACGGGACAAAGAAAAAAATGAGCAAATATTTTTTTCATGTGAAAATGTTCGTTCGAAAGTTTTTGAATAGTTTAATAAATCTCAAAATTTCGTCTAAATCCGTCAGTGGTTTCTTGAAAAAAAAACATAGCTATGGTTTTATTAATGATTAATTTTACAGATTAAAAACATTTTTTCTTCCTAATCTAACCTCAGCAATCCAGTTTTTACTCGTTGACTGTGTGGTATCATTCACTTCTTTCTAAGAACAGTTTCAGCATCAATCTTACTCCCGATGATGATGGCATAGATCGTCGAAAGCTTGAGTTTAAGTTAAAAGTGTCCTTTTGCAAAAAAATCGCCTTCATCCCAAAGAATTTCAATTTCTCCTAACGAATTAAGGCAACTCAATTTTGAGTACTGTATTATATACAGGGTGGCGCATCGAAAACGAAACAGACACATTTACTGGCAGCTCAGTTTTTTTTTTTGAAAAACGCTCAGACCCGTCGATTTTGTTTTCGAGGGGGACACAAGTCTGGCAAAAAATCACGTTAACACGTGCAGCCCCCTGGGCGGGGGTGACACCAACCCTAAAATCTTAAATTGAAAGGGGGGTCGAGTGATACCTTATTTTAAAGGTATTTCAATTCCCTTTATAATGATGTAAAATACATGAGTTTTCAGTTCAGTAGTTTTGAAGATTTATTGATTTAAAGCTTAAAGTAGCCTTTAATAGGTACATCAGATTAGTTTGTACTACTTTCAGAAGAAATTTGACTAAAAGAATTTACTTAATAAGTAAATGCTTTTCGTCACTACGCCCATGGTTTGTTTATCATTTTGTTGTTGAAAATAGCTATTGGGGCGTTTTTTTGTGGCAAAAAAGTTATTTCTTGAAGAAAGATAAATAAGGAAATATCTCGTACTTATTTTAAATAGGAATTTAGTACATAGCTTTCGATTAATTTGACCAAACTTTGTTGCTAAAATAACTTGTAACGCTTTATTACATAAATTAACCATGGTATATCCCACAGCAGAAAGAGTTGAAATTATCGAAATATTTTTCGGAAATAATCATTGCCCTAATAGAACAGCAGAAATATTTAATGAGCGACAAGAGAACAGTAACGTGCATCGAAAGTATTTCTTATCATTAAAAATTCCGCCATTTGGGGTAAAATGTTATGGATTCATCAGATCTATGCCCTCATACTCGTGCTAGCACTCATCATTATGCAAAAACTGAACAATCCAACACCAAAGTTGACATTTGATTCTCGGAAAATGTATGTGGTTATACACACTTATATCCGCAGGTGTTTATGACAATCTAATCATAATTATTATCATATCAGTCTGAAGTAGCCGAAATCTGGGTTATGCAAACAAAACAACAATGATTACCACTGTCACACTTTGTAAGTCCATCGAAATAATCTTCGAAAAAATTACAATAGAGAACAGCAAAAATCTTATTTATATAGGTGGATGTAATGCTGATAGATCGTGCTTATTTCATTTAACAATAAATAAACAGAAGTTAAACTTTACTCAAAATAGAACAAATTTTGATCAACTACTCCGCATCAGTGACACCAGCAAGACCATTAAAAAGAAATAACCTGTTCGATGACAGTCATTAATTTGGCGATTACTGACAAATAAGAGGAATGACGTTATCGCAACAGTATGACCGTTTTCACGGGAAAATGACAACTGTTAGCTTGAAACTTAAAACACCATTTTTTCAGATACATTGTTTTGTTTTTTTTTCATATACAGTAATGGACAAAAGTATATAGACAAATATGAATATTTACCTAAATACCTTTAAAAAACGAATTCATACTTCATTGCTCCATAAACAAATGCGTTATTAGTAGAAAAACTAAATTCCTTGTTTTTACATTATCTGCAATGAACACAAGTCTCAATATAAGCACTTTTTTATGAGGGACAAAATATGTAGACAAATTCTTTTCAACATTAGTTTAGTACAGTTTCGTGTCAGAAGAGGATTAGTTTGTGTTCATCAAGTATTGTGGAATAGGTTGAGTAATTTTAAGACCATGCCGCGTGGTCCAGAAATTTCTTTCGATGTGAAAACTAAGATACAAAGATGGTCAACGTCAAGTCGACATTGCCAAAAATTTTAAGCTGAAGCGTAAAGGAGTTTGGGCAATATTGAACAAATATAAACAAAAAGGTGTCTTGGAAGCCTCTAAGAGAAGTGGTCGGCCTAGAAAACTAACTGCTAGATCAGTTAGATTAATAAAAGTAATTTCGTCCAAAGATCTGTTTAAAACCCCAAGACAAATAAAAGCCGAAATCGAGACAAAAGGAATTATTGTCAGTGTTTCTACGAAAACTATAAGTAGAAGATTAAATGATTTGAAGTTATTTGCACGTCGCCCTTGGAAAAACCGATTACAATTTGCACGGTTGCATCTTGACTGGAGCATCTGTGACTGGAAGAGGGTATGTTTCAGTGCCGAATCCAAGTTCAGTATGTTTTGACCAGATGGTGTTCATTACGTTAAACGTCCTAGTGGACAAAGATTGAACCCCAAGTACACTTTGCCCACTGTCAGACATGGAGGCGGGTCTGTTATGGTTTGGGGGTGCTTTTCGGGGTTTGGGATGGGACCTTCACATAGAATAGATGGCATTATGGATAACTTTGTATACACAGACATATTAAAGCATGTCATGTTACCCTATATGGAAGACAATATGCCCTTAAGATCAATCTTCCAGCAAGATAATGACACTTCAAATCTCGCAACAAAATTCTTTCTGGATGAAAAAATACCAGTTCTCAAATGGCCTTCACAGTCTTCCGATACCCCATTGAAAATCTATGGGAATAGTTAGATAAGCAAATACGAGATAAAAATTAATCAAACAAGGATGGACTTTTTGCCGCTTTAGAGCATAAGTGGAGACAGATTGATGAATCTTATATCAAGAAACTTCTACAATCTATGCCGAGACGATGCCAGGCGGTGATTGACAATAATGATTATGCTACAAAAAATTAACACAAACATGGTTGGTTTTCTATAATTCAATGAACTTTGCTTCTTTTTTCTATACAGTGGACAATAAATTTAATTTTTTTAATTGTATCTTGTGGGAAAAGTGCACTTCTTTGTTAATTTTGGGGCGCTGAATCCAAAAATGACAATGAAATAAAAAAATTAGTTGCGGTTTAGAAAAAAAACTTTTTATTTTTAAGGATATATTAAAAAAAGTAACAAGATTCATATACTTATAAGA